TAGCAGGTGCTCACATTGTCGGATACATGAATGATGCCTTGTGTGACTGGTTGATGCTATAGTATGGCTTCTACCTGTGCTCTTTAAGCTTTTGTAACTACGATTATCTGTTTTATACCTAAGGCTACACTCACAAACAAAGCAAGTGCGCGGTATTCAGTGTTCATGTCATTAAACTTTTAATAAGAGAGAGAGAAAAAGAACCCTTTTAGAAGCAACATAACTCATTGAAAACAATGCGAGTGACACATGCAATTGTCATTTTTCTATTCTGAGAGGAGAATTGGACTCCAGCTATGCCAGCCACACAGCTGGGGGATGAACACATGGAGATACTCAGTTCACAGTGTGGCTGCTCCTCACACACTAAAATCCAAATAAGTCCTTGAAACTTGCAGTGGGGTGTTAAATATGGTGCATCATAAAATTGAATTCCCAGAAGCCAAATGGCAATATATCATCAGTACATGCTGGTAACTGTGAAAACAACAGTGATTATGAAATAATAAATGTATAATTGTTTGAGTTCTTACAATCTGCTTGCATTATGTTAAACAGGTATGGTCTACTATCGAATCCAATTTTTCTTTTCCCTGATTTGGTCACGGTTAAGGTCATTTACACTATTGGAGAGAGAATGTGATGAATAAGGACTATTTAAATTTAACCCTTTTATCTTATCTTAGGTGCTCAGTTTATCCTCTGAGCCATAGGTAGTGGAGAGCTAGGGAGGTGGAGAATGGAGAATGGGTATGACTTTAACCCTTGGTCAGTATTTAAAGCCTGAGGAGATTAAATTGATAGTCATATTTCCGCTTCAATTAAAAACACTTTTTAGGGGCACCAGGGTGGCTCAGTCTGTTAAGCATCTGACTTCAGCTCAGGAGGTGATCTCATGGTCCATGGGTTTGAGTCCCACGTCAGGCTGTATGCTAACAGCTCAGATCCTAGAGCCTGCTTTGGATCCTGTGTCTCCCTCTCTCTCTGCCCCTCCCCCACTCATGTTCTATCTCTCTGTCTCTCTCAAAAATAAATAAACACTAAAAAAATACTTTCTAAGGTACTTTTAGCCATTATGGAATTTGTTTGGATTCAGAATTTTTTTCTGGATTTATTTATTAGCAGGGCTAATGTTTCATATAATTCACAGTCCAAAGAGAAAACAGTAGATGTCAATAAATGTATATAGAACTGTGTATTTTCAGGTTGTAATTTAAGATACTGTTGCCAAGGTCAACCTGAGGATTCAAAGAATCTTAATAAACTCAGAAAAGTCTGCCAGAAATAAATAACTTACCTACAAAATTTTATTATAGTATTTTCGAATGTAGTGATGTAGTAAATTTCTATAAAAATTTGACTATCCAAAAAAGAACCACTTTGTGTAGATATCATATCAAAGTGTAATTGGCTTATCTCTTGGTTCAGGATGCATTCAGCATCTCCCAAATCCAAGGATGCATTATTTATTAAGAACATGCAGAACTACCCCTGAATTAAGTATATTTGTCTTTGGGGCCAACATCATTCACTTCACCAAAGTGACTAGTTTATCACCATTTGAAGAGTGTGAAACACCCATATGAATCATTAAGTTAAACGTTGGCAGTGGACTCTCTTAATAGGGACCCACCTTTTTGAGACTCTGATATCCATGTAACCAGAAGAATTACTCATAGCAAGTGTGCACAATAAATACAGCTACACCCCAAGCTTGCATTTGCTGACCCAGCACGGTCATACCACGAGCCCACAGATTGGTTTAGGGGGAAGTGGTATAGACTAGCCGCTAAACAGTTTAAAGTTAGGTTGTGTCCTGGATATGCTGCTTATCTACCTGTCACAGACTATTCACTTCCAGCCTTTTATGGAGTACCTACTCTGAGCCAAACACATGGTAGTCTAGGATTTCAAGATGCCGGAATGATTAACGGTCTGGGCCCTTAAGCAGAGTGACTTAGTTGGGAGAAAAAGATGTGCTCTCCCCACCACCAAAACAAACAAGCAAACAAACGGTATGGAGTCTCTATTATTTTTGCAACTCCCTGAGTCTTTAATTATTTCCAAATAAAAAAGTTGAAAAATAATTGCATGTGTTGCTATGGGACTAGCACTTTGCTGCGTACTGGGGACACAGGGCTAAATGAAGCCGTGATCACTGCCCCAGAGAGCCTAGAGTTGAGTGGGAAAGGCAGGGAAGTGAATGGATAATGCAGGTGCAGTGTGGTAAGTGCTCAGATGGAGGGAGGTTCAGTAGGGGCTGGGGCAACACCAGGAAGAGTCTGACTTAGATCAGGGTTGAGGTCAGGCAGAGCTCTCCTGGAGGAATTGATTAGAAAATTTCTAAAGTGCACGGTACAGAAGGAATTTGGGACCATGTGTGGATTAAAAGCTCATGGCGGCATCTGTAGAATTAAACTCTTTCTTAAGACTTTTGTCCCCATTGGGTGGAATCTTCTGGCTGCAGTGCTCAGTGGCCAGGATGCCAGTCATGCTCGTCTGTTCTTTCTCCTCAGTGTCCAACAAGCACCCATTTGTGGACAGCAACCTTCTCTACCAGTTCAGAATGAACTTCCGGCGGAGGCGCAGACTGATGGAGCTGCTCAATGAGAAGTCCCCCTCTTCCCAGGAAACTCATGACAGTCCCTTCTGCCTGAGGAAGCAGAGCCACGACAATCGGAAATCCACCAGTTTTATGTCCGGTATGTCAGTTTCACCATGTAACTGATCACATGCATTTGTCTTTTGAGAAGTATTAGGGTAATAACTCAGCATTGTGAAATTAGTTTCTCCAGCACATTTTTTTTTAAATTTTTTTTTTCAACGTTTATTTATTTTTGGGACAGAGAGAGACAGAGCATGAAGGGGGGAGGGGCAGAGAGAGAGGGAGACACAGAATCGGAAACAGGCTCCAGGCTCTGAGCCATCAGCCCAGAGCCCGACGCGGGGCTCGAACTCACGGACCGCGAGATCGTGACCTGGCTGAAGTCGGCCGCTTAACCGACTGCGCCACCCAGGCGCCCCTCTCCAGCACATTTTTATTTATTCATAACCAAGAAGTATGGGGTGGAGGGCAGGGAAACCCAGCATTACCAAATTGTTCCTGGGCTGTCAACTTAGATGTCATGAAGATCGTTTTATAAAATAAGTATTTACATTATACAAGACCTCTTAACCTCTCATTTTGCCTTACTTGCTTTTCATTGATAAACAGTTCTTATATGTCATTAATTATCCAGTTTTCTAAATCACAGCACTGAAAAACTGTGTGCTTTAATGGTAAATAAAGACTTCTGAGGGCATAGACAAGTCAAAGGCAACTGATTGTCAACCTGTCATGAAGGGGTGACCCAGAACAAAGAAAAATTGTGAAAAGCAAACAGAGGAGCTCGTAAAGCCTCGGACGTTACATGGAAGGTCAAACAGTCCCATATTTACAATGAACCTTGACAGAAATGATGCTGACAGATGTTCACAAAGATAACCCCACTCGTCCGGAAAAGGTTAACTTGATGTGTCATTTGAAGAAGAGGGGTACTTAAAGGGATATCTTCAACTCCTCTGAAAACTTGGCATTGACTCAAGGAACTGGTTGGCCTAAGGTTTGGAAATTCTGGGCTTCACCTGAAACTCGGGGCACAATGAAAATGTGTGTCTTGAAAATGTGGTTATTTGTGGGAGGTGCAAGAGTACTTGTAGCTATATGGAGTCCTTTCTGTGCCCCTGGCACTGGGCTAGGCTTATGTGCCTGAATTTTATTAATTCTCACAACATCCTAAAGAGGAAGGACTTTTCTTATCCCCATTTTATGGGTGGAGAAACTGAGGCTTGGAACAATGGAGGGGCTTACCCAAGGTCACACCATTAGAAAGTGGTGGACAGAGCTGGATCTCACACCGGTTCTGTCTTAACTCTCTCTATTTCTGCTCTCTCCTCCCCAATCTCCCTCGCCCTGGAGCTCCTTGGACACAGCCAGGGTGGAAGAAAGAATGAAGCAAGAGGAGAGAGTAAGCACTAGAGGGTCAGGTGTGTGCACACACACATCACGTGTTCCTCAGGGTCGCAGGTCGCAGTCTCCCACAAATGCCGAGTACCTGTTCACGTTCTTACTAGCTCTAAGGTTTGCCGGTTTCTTGTGGACCCAATAGACCCGAAAAGTGACACTGATGAGAAAGAGGATATAGTGGCCATGGTCACCATAAAATCCAGTAGTTATTTTGTGCTTTCCATGTTCCAGGCACTAAGCGGGATGCTCTCTACCTACGGCTTCTTTCGTTTGAACACACACCTTCTCCTCTCCCTGTTGAGAGCCACCAGCTCTGTGGCAAAGAGAACCAGATCAGATCACAAAACTGCTGCCTCACATACACTTCCAAAGCCGAAACGTGTTAATGTGTGTTAATCTCCTTCTTCAACGGCTCTGGGTGATTCATGACTTGCTATTAGATCGGGAGGCATTTATTATTACTGTTAATCCATTAAGTGTATAGCCGGCAGTTAATTTACCCCCTTCCAGGGATTGCCTAGCATGGATGGGCTCGGTCGTTCTCGAAATAACGTTTTATATGGCTGCGTACTTTCACGTACATTATATAACCCACTCCTTGTACCGATCCTGTTGCATTATACCCACTTCACAGCTGGGGAAATTGAAGCTCAGAGAACTGAGGCGAGTGGCCTCAGGTGATGCTATTAGCGAGTGGAAGGCTGCAAGTCGGATTCTTGCTCCTCTGACTCCGAGGCCAGGGTGCCTTTTTCTGGCACGTGTGACGCGCCTGCTGTGTCTCGTGGCTGAAAACCCGTATGTCTCATGGCCGTCGCCCTCCTGACTGTGTGTTTCTGGCCCGCACAGTCAGCCCCAGCAAGGAGATCAAGATCGTGTCTGCGGTGCGGAGAAGCAGCATGAGCAGCTGTGGCAGCAGTGGCTACTTTAGCAGCAGCCCCACCCTCAGCAGCAGCCCCCCTGTGCTCTGCAATCCCAAGTCCGGTGAGTGGCCGAAAGGCAGCCCCGTTTCTGGCTGGGGCTGTGGGGCACTTGGGACATGTGCGGGCTGCGTTCCTTGGGAAGCAGATTCTCAGACGGGGGAGGCTAGTGCGTGGGAATCTTGTGACAGCATGCTCGTGGAGCCAAGGCCTGTCGAGAGGAAGGGAAGCACGCAGATTTGGGCAGAGGGAGAATCGGGCTGCAGTGTAGCGTCAGGGAAGGCTGCACTGACCCCAAGGGGAGCTCTGGAGGTGGGATGGCCCTTCACAATTGTCCCAAATTGGGACTCAACTCTGTTAAACCCTCATGTTAACCAGTCATTTGATGTTGGCTGCCCTGGGAGGAGGGCCTGACCGTGGGCAAGGCAGCTCTCTTCAGAGGTCGTTCCAAAGACAGTTGAAGGTATCAGCTGGGAGATGCCCCTCAGTCCTGAAGAGAGTTTGAACAGATGCAGAGGTCTTTGGGGCCTTAGCACCCCCAAGGAAGAAGCACAGATCTGTGCAAAACCCAACTATCCCCGGAAATGACTCTTGGTGCCTTGCAGTTTCTTTTTTTAAAAAAAAATTTTTTTTCAATGTTTATTTATTTTTGGAACAGAGAGAGACAGAGTATGAATGGGGGAGGGGCAGAGAGAGAGGGAGACACAGAATCGGAAACAGGCTCCAGGCTCTGAGCCATCAGCCCAGAGCCTGACGCGGGGCTTGAACTCACGGACCGCGAGATCGTGACCTGGCTGAAGTCGGACGCTTAACCGACTGCGCCACCCAGGCGCCCCAGGTGCCTTGCAGTTTCAAAATCTACTGATCAAACTGCATGGCCTTTACATTCCAGAAAAAAAAAAAAAATCTAGGTACAAAGATTGTCGATGAGCTTGTGCTTAGACACAATTCCTCCTTGACCCAATCAGTTCTTCAGCCCACAGGAACCTGTAACTCACAGATACGACCACCTTCTCAAAGTCCGTTACCCACCTCTTTCCTAGGATTAGATTGCGTGGTCTCTGATGGTAATAATCACTGCCTTGAAAATCCCCCCGACTCCATTTGTTTAGTGCCCTGTTCACCCTCAGTTCAGTATATCACCTTCAGGGAAGGGAATTCATTCCTTTTGCTCTTGTTCCCTCATCGCCAGATTTGGGGGTACAAAGATGGAAGGTCATGACCGGTTCCCTCAGTGAACGTATCCTCTCTTTGGGGCCAGGGAGCATGTGTTAGAATAAGGACCAATAGATGTTGTTCAAAGGGTTTTAAGAGAAAACTCTGTTAGGCAAGTGGTATTTTACTTAATCTAACGTTTTGCTGCGTTCTGGAGGATTAGCTAAAGAATAGAGTTGTAACCTGCAGCAAATGAATGAAGAAACTTGTTTCCACACTGACTCTGCCTGGAAATCATTGAGCACCCATATGCTACCAGGTTTTCAATTAATGAAACACTGGTGATAAGGCAGAATGAGAAAGGAGGGCTATATTCTTAGAACTAGGCTTTTTGAAGCCCTGATCGAAATCTGATAGGTGTATCTAAAGTTAGAAGCAAAAGAATTCAGCTTCCGGAAGGGGTCAGCTATGCTAAAGCCATTTTGCATGCTTTCCACTGCATACAATAGTAGAATGAGAACAGAGTGTTAATTGCTTAAATGAACTACACATCTGCATTCCCTGAGGTGGGTTTGTATTGTTTCCTCTTTCTCCTTATGCCTTGTCACAAAGGGAAACGTTTACTGATAAGCAGGCAGCAAAGAAAGGTCAGGTTGCCTTTTTTGGGACTCTGCTGTGGTTGTCTCTATTGTTTTAATTGTGGTTTGTAAGTCCTACCTCTTACCTATATTCTGACAAGCTTCTCCCTCACTCTTAAGAGGGTTCCCAAGGTACAGTGAGCTTATGTGTGATTATTTTTCTCAAGCAGATAAACAGACCTTCACAGTAAGACATTTAAAATTTGGGGCGCCTGGGTGGCGCAGTCGGTTAAACGTCCGACTTCAGCCAGGTCACGATCTCGCGGTCCGTGAGTTCGAGCCCCGCGTCGGGCTCTGGGCTGATGGCTCAGAGCCTGGAGCCTGTTTCCGATTCTGTGTCTCCCTCTCTCTCTGCCCCTCCCCCGTTCATGCTCTGTCTTTCTCTGTCCCAAAAATAAATAAACGTTGAAAAAAAAATTAAAAAAAATAAAATAAAATAAAATTAATCATTATATTTATATCTGGATGTATTTTTTAGAACTATGTATAAAAGCCCTAAACCAGACCAAAAAAAAAAAAAAAAGTACTAGAGATATTACCATAATTGGTGTCCTTGTGATGAGTAAATAACTTCCCAAGGATTCAGAAAGAGAAAGCTAACACATAATTCCCTGGGCTTCAGGGTTTCTATCTTTTTTCAACAGAAGAAGGAGAAAGTGTATTAAAATAAATACTTTTATTTATAATTTATTTTATTTTATTGGTATAGTGATCAAATATTACAGTATAGTGTGATTCAAAACCATGATAAAATATCATCTCACACCTGTTAGAATGGCTATTATCAAAAAGACAAAAGATAACAAGTGCTGGCAAGGGTGTGGAGGAAGAGGGACTCCCATGCACTGTTGCTGGGAATGCAAACTGATGCAGCCACCATGGGAAACAGTATGGGGCTCCTCAAAAAATTAAAAATAGAACTACCATATGATCTAGCCATTCCATTTCTGGGTACTTATCCAAAGGAAAGGAAGTTACTCAAAATGTTATCTGCACCCCATGTCCCTTGCAGCATTATTTACAATAGCCAAGACATGGAAACAAACTAAGGGTCCATTGATCGATGAATGCATAAAGAAAATGAGGTGTATTTATACACAATGGAATATTACTCAGTCATAAGAAGAAGGAAATCCTGCTGTTCGCAACACCATGGATGGAATTTGAGGGCATTATGCTATGTGAAATAAGTGAAACAGATAAATATGTGGTCTCACTAATATGTGGAATCTAAAAAGAAGAAAAACAAACTTACACAGAGAACAGATTGATTGTTGCCAGAGGAATGGGTGAGGGTGGTCAAATGGTACAAACTTGCAATTATAAAATAAACAAGTCCTGGGGCTCCTGGGTGGCTCAGTCGGTTAAGCCTCGGACTCTTGGTCTTGACTCACATCATGATCTGGCGGTTTGTGAGTTCGAGACCCGCATCAGGCTCTGCGCTGACCATGCAGAGCCTGTTTGGGATTCTCTCTGTCTGCCCCTCTTCTGTTCTTGCTCTCTCTCTCTCTCTCTCTCTCTCTCTCTCTCTCTCTCTCTCTCTAAATAAAGCTTTAAAAATAAAATAAATAAGTCCTGGGGGTGTAATATACAGCATGGTCACTATAGATAATCGTACTGTGTTGTGTATTTGAAAGTTGCTAAGAAAATAAATCTTAAAAGTTCTCATCACAAGAAAAGAATGTTGTAGCTATGTGAGGTGAGGGGTGTTAACTAGACTTATTGTGGTGATCACTGCACAAAACATATACATATATTGAATAATTATGTTAAAACCTGAAACTAATATTATTTTATATGTCAGTTATATCTCAGTAACAGGAAAGAGAATGTGTATTAAGGTAGGTGGTCACTACTGTCAGATATTACAGTACGTGTGATTTCTATACCCGAATTCATTCACCCAGACAGGATTATCTTGGGTAGGGAGAGAATTGTGTGACAGGGAATTGAAAGGTCTCAGTCCTCAACCAAGGACCTCTTCTCTTACATCCTGTTCATCTAAGAGGTTCTTTTCTTGGTTTTGACCTACTCCCTCTTTTTGGGGGGGAACATAAATTCATTTTCTCTTTTATGAGCTACCTGAAAGCAAAAGTAAGCATCTGGCCACCTGTCATCTCAACAAGAAGCATGTCATTGCCTTTAACTGAGAGGGTGTTCGTTAGGGCCAGACTACCTGGTGGCTCATCTGGGTCTCACCCCATGCTGCCTTTTCTTTTTCTGCTGCACACGTGTTCTAGGACTGACATCTGACCTCTGAGTGCTGCCGGCAAAGGGAATTGGAGGCTCACACTTTGCTGGGTTAGGGGCCTGGCCATGGCCCCTCCAGTTTCTTTGTGATACCCAAGTTCATGATCTCTGAATAACTGGATTAGGATGGTCCCTGGCTCCCCATTCGCTGGCTTTTCTAGACACCGAAGCAGTCCCCTCTCCAGTGCTTAGTGAGCACAGGATGGATGGAGAAGTTCATTACATGGTCCCTCTTTTCCCTTTCCGTGGGGTCAGTCACCCAAGTCAACCGCAACCCAGAAGCGGATGATCCTCCTTCTAATATAGTGTCAGAAGGTCAATAGTGGCCTCAGGCTCTGTCACTTACCTTACTTTGTCTCATCACATAGGCATTTTATGATCTCACATCATCACAGGAAGGGTGAGTACAGGACAATACGATATTTTGAGAGACAGACTACTTCACATGACTTTTATTACCATGTATTATTATAATTGTTCTATTTTATTGCTAGTTATTGGTACTGATCTCTTACTGCGACTAATTTATAAATTAAGCTTTATCATAGGTATGTATGTATAGGAAAAAAAGTAGTATATGTAGGGTTCAGTACTGTCCATGGTTTCAGGCACCCACTGGGGATCTTGGAACGTATCCCCGTAGGTAAGAAGGGACCACCATATTGACAGGTTTTTAGGCAGACAGCAAGTCCAGAATTGGCTGCTGTGCTTGCTGCCTTGGTGGGCAATAGCAGTCAGCTGATAAGAACAGATGTCTGAGGAGGACAGCACATTACTACCTTCCAGAGATTTTGAGTCCTTTCTTCTGCTTACAGAGAGGGCAGAGCATGGGAGGAACCATATTGTACTGTGGCTCATGGGTGCTGGCATCTAATGCCTGAGTTGGAATCCTGATTCTGCTAATTAGGTTGAGACCTTGAACAAAACTATTTAACTTTTCTTTCTTTCTTTTTTTTTTTTTTTTCAACGTTTATTTATTTTTGGGACAGAGAGAGACAGAGCATGAACGGGGGAGGGGCAGAGAGAGAGGGAGACACAGAATCGGAAACAGGCTCCAGGCTCCGAGCCATCAGCCCAGAGCCTGATGCGGGGCTCGAACTCACAGACTGCGAGATCGTGACCTGGCTGAAGTCGGACGCTTAACCGACTGCGCCACCCAGGCACCCCTAACTTTTCTTTCTTTTAAACATTTTTTTAAAGTTTATTTTTGAAAGAAAGAGAAAGTGCACAGGAGGGGAAGGGCAGAGAGAGACAGAGACAGAGACAGGATCCCAAGCAGGCTCTGTGCTGTCAGCATGGAGCCCAGTGCAGGGCCAGATCTCATTAACTGTGCAGTCATGACCTGAGGCAAAATCAAGAGTCAGATGCTTAACCCACTGAGCCACCCAGGCATCCCGAAGCTATTTAACTCTTCTAAACTCATGTTTTCCCCCGAATAAAATAGGGACAACGAAGAGCCTAATAAAATAGGGACAATAAAGAGCCTAACTAAACAGTACTCGTGATGATTAAATGACATAATATATTTGAAGTCTCTGGCATAGTACCTAGCACATGCTGCATATGTGGAACATTTCTCTAATATTACTACTGAGGGAAAAAGGCAGTGAATGTGTACACGCAGCCTGGATATTGGTCAGAAAATAAGTGAAGCTTGGGTGAGTGGTTGTGTGCAGTATGTTGTGTGGGGTTAGCTCTTGAAACGTGGCTATCAGACTGCTAGAGGCAGATTTTTCTCTTAACTTTGACCTGTTGAATACAGGATTCCAAAGAAAGAAATGTGAGAACTAGAAAACCTTTTCTTTTTTTTAAATTTATTTATTTTTGAGAGAGAAAGAGCATTTGCAA